GGTTTTTTTTTGTTTTTTTTTTTTTTTTTTTTTTTCTTCACAAACCTGAGTAATTGTAAAGTCAATAAATAGGAGGAGAGAACTGAATGCTAAAATATAATGGCCACCCCCCCGGGCCTAAAGCAGCACGGGTTTTTCTCAAACAGAGCCCCGTCCCCGACGCGTCTGGCCCGGGCGCGGTATGAAGCGCGCGGCAGCCATGCTTGTGAGGACGTGGGACAAAACCCGGGGCCCCAGCACCACCCTTTGGCACCTGGAGTGACGCCTCGCCCGTGGCGGGAGCAACCACGGACGGCGGTGCTGGGGCTCCCCACCCTCTCCTCCTTCACAAAAATTCTTCCCTTTTGGAACAGTTTCGTTAAAGGCAAAAATGAGAGAAGCATCATTGAGCTGAAGTCTTATTTGGTTGAAGGTGCCTGGCGGGGCCACGGCCCACGTCCCCTGGCGGCACCGGGAGCTCAGATGTTTAGGAGGTCCTCGTCGCTGTCGTCGCTGTCGTCGTGGAAGGACACCAGGCGGCCGGGGGTCCCAGGCTTCAGCGCTGCAGCCCTGGGCAGCCCCAGGCACCCCTTCTCGCCGCTCACCAGCCCCGCCCGGTCGTCCCGGAACATCTTCCTTGGCGGGATTCTCACGGGGTGGGTGCTGTCGGCCCCAATCCCTCTGCCCGAGTGAACCCGCACCTCTGGGATGGTCAGGACCTCGTCCTCGCTGTCCTGGTCATCCCCGTGCAGGGAGGCGAGGGCCTCGGCTTTCACGGCCTTGGTGGCGATGTGGCCGTTCTCCTGCCCATCCCTCCCAGGCCGGGGGCCGGGCGCCTGGATCTCTTCCATCAGCCACTCGGTCTCATTCTCCTCCACCTCCTCCTCCTTGCTGACCTGCGGGACAAGCAGCACGTGGGGCCGCGGGAAGCCCGCCCGCTCCTCCAGGGCCCCCCACAGCCCCCCAAGCCAGGGTCCCCTCCACAGCCCGCCAGAGAGGCCGCCGCGTCCCGGGGCCCCGGCAGGAGGAAAGGCGAGGGCCGGGACCGCAGCTCCTGCGGAGGCCCAACCGGCAGGCAGCACCCGGGCGGCGG